TAACGTAAAGCAAGTTAAATAGGTTTTAGGTCTTCTGAAAACTAAACGGATAAATTGCTTCAATTAATTCTTACTCCCCGTTACATCACAGTTTTTTCATCTATTACCCAAAAAGGTCAACTTTCTGATGCGTAAAAGATTCTTGGTACACCAAACGGAAAGGGGCTCGCTTATATGGGTGCACCGCCATTTTTTTGCGATGACTCATCGGAATTATTACTCGAACTGTCGCCATATCAACAGGTCGCCGGATGGATGACAAAATTCAAGACAAATACGAAGGATGGCTGCGAACTTGCGTCATCAGTTCTTCTACTTTTTTGCTAGGGCACGAGCTCCAATAATAATCTACAGTACTCATAAATGGTGAATCCCCATGAATCGAGCAAATAGATAAAGCGGTCTGGTCTCCCTCGATGTCTGCCTCGTGTCGCGGCAGACATTTATGCAAATGGATGCCTTCTGCTCTATGAATAGCACTTGGATACACACAGCCTTTTCCGAGGACAATACATTCAATTATCCAAGGACTGCGCCAAAGACAGGCCTTGGTTTTCTATTCAGCTTTTTCCGCTGGCTGTCACAGACATCGGCGGTTTACACAGATGACTATGGTCCTGGTGCAACTGCTGAGATTGTGGCAGCTGTACTCGAAGTCCTTGCTGTTAACACCAATTACACGACATGACAGGGTGAAGCTGGAACGAGTAGTAGTTCGGCCTCTGCAAGATTTCTTCCTCCAACTTTGGTGTACAGATTTCTGTCTGTTTCCAACTCAATTTATGAAAACATTCACCCATCCCTCCGGAAAAAATAGAAAAAAAAAGATGGCCCATTTCTGCTTCCTTGGCGTCAATGGTCTATGTGTAAATTGCACCCAGAAGAAGGGAATTTCTGGGTGATAAGGGATCAGGCGAATAAACTGGAGCAAATTGATGTCAGACCAACTGGCGGCACCCAGCCGATAAGTCGCTTAATGTTGGTCTGCAGTATTTATGGCATATTCGACGGCTTTCAATCGGGATCCCAGGCTTAGCACTTCAAGACGGTTAGATTGCCCGACCGAGGATATTGCGACTTATTAAAGTCATTTCAAAATGAAACAAAACTGGAAAAGCTGGTGCTTTTTACATCACAATACATATATATATTTAAGGTATTTAGGTACAGCACAATCAATATTAAGAATTGTAAAGAGATATTTGTTGCTTGTTATTTTGTAAATAATTTATCCATTAAGGATACCAATAATAACCATAAGCGTTTACGAAGTAAAGATTTAGAAATATTCAAAAATTAAGGAGCCAAGCTTCACATCTGGAAGGCTGTTTAGCTTAGATCTTAGAACATACTTCTGGACATGGCTACATTGACTCTATTTAAGATATCTCCTTCGCCGCATTGTCTTTAATTTTATTTCCCTTCTTGCAAGAATATAACCAATGCCATCCAACCAAGAAAAGTCAGACTCCGAGAGTGTTATGTGAGTTTTTTTGGCCGCTTCTGGTTAGCTTGGCCCCCGGGGCGCCGCCTGTGCTCGTAAATGTTTTGGTCATTAGCCATGGCGTGAAAACCAATAAACGCGTCGGGTGCCTATAGAAGAAATGAAGATGGCAAAAACAAAACCAAGACCGGGCTAACAAAAATTGCAATCAAATCAAAAACTACAAAACAAAAGCAAAATGCCTTTATGATATGGCCATAAAAGCCGACCACGCTGTCCCAACAATGGGCCAATTTGTGGCGCTCAATAAAAATAATAAAAATATTGCAACTTTTGTTAAAGCCAACCATTTTGGCCACACTCCCTGTCCGTGTAAGCTCTTTAGTCACTTGTTTGTCTGCCTGTATCTGTGTCTGTCTCTCATATTTTTTGTTCCATTTCGGCACGTTTATGAGTTATTATACGAGGATAGGAGGCAACTGAGTGGTGTACAATGGCTTGTGGTTTGATGGCCAGCTGCCAGGCCCACTCCTTAAAAGAAAGCGGCTTTAATAACAAACCTTTGATTTATCGTATATTTAATGCGGTTTTGTCTCGCTATCTGTCTGTCCGGCTGCGGTCTTCGATGGTTAAATTATTATTGATGATTTGGTCAAGTATTTGGTGAGGAACATTACATTGTGACAGGTGTAAAGCCATTGCCAAACACTGATGGGTGCGAATTCCCATTGCGTTCCCATAAATCATTCTGTCTGACGGCAAGCGGAAAGGCAGCGGACAAAAAAGACCAAAATTATTCAACATAATCCAATATTCTTTTATCGAATTTCATATTCCCACAAACTTTTTTTATTTCATACTCAATAATATTCAACCATCGCTTTAATTTTATAGCAGTCGGCCGAAACTGTTTTTCCAATGAATTTCTCTCGTAAATGCGTTGGCCACATATTAAATATAAAAGTTTGCTGCCATTTAATTCAGTTCTCGGCCATGCTTTTCACACTTCAGAGCGCCTGCACTCGTATAACTTCTCACATCGCACATACGCCCCATTGCCCATTACGCATTCGCCCAGTGGTAATCATTTCTGTAAACTGTTTTCGATCTCCACCCCGTGCGGTCACCATCTCCTCCCCCCGCTGGAATTGCCATCCATTCCGGACACGTAGGGAGAAACCTTTTCGTCCTTTCGTGACGCACAAAAAACCCCACACATGGAAACCCCGTCCACGGAGCAAAGATACAAATGGCTGTCCTGGGCAACTTGACTTGACTTGTCTGTCAGGCGGCAAAACAAATGGAGGAGCCCCAAAGCCACAGAGAAACTATTTATATGCTGCCCCAGGCGTGTGCCGAGAATCAGGAGAGCTTGGGGCGATTGGCAGTGCTCCACCCAGTCCCAATAGATGGATGGATATTTGGCGGTTGTCCATCGCGTTTATTGGCAACATATTCGAGCGCATTGTCTGCATCTGCGGTGCGTCTTTGCCTTGATTAATCGACATGCGGACATTGAATTTTTGCAGCGACAGCAATAAGGAATCTCAGTCAATACTGCTGGCATAATTCCACGTGCCTGTCGCGTTCCAAAGTTTCTTCAAGCCTAATTGGCAGAAACTTTCTCTAAGAAATTACACTTGTAAAAATATAGTTTGTTATTTACAGAAGAAACGAAAAGGGATATTAAGGTAGTAAGAAGAACAGCAAGAATTTTTGAAGTTTCTACAAACCTCTTTTCATAAACTGAAGAATGAAGAAACAAAGATAGTTTATTATTTGGATTTTATGAACCATCCACTGAGAAAGTGTCATTATTAATTACTAATATTTTTATGTTTTTATATATTTCGTCCAAAACTAAGAATAGTCCTGCCTCTGGTGATAAAAACTAATAACAAAGCTCCCATTGGAACGTCAAACTTTTTGATGAGTGTAAAAACACCCACATACGCATCAACCGCTATCTCAGCTGGGAAACGCACGGATGGGCAAGCAGAATGCCCCGACCCCGAGGTAGACGACTCCATTACCTCCGTGGCTGGTCTTTCCCCCGGCTCCTGTGAGTAATGTTGTTGCTTGTGCTGCTAAATGCTAACGATGACTAGGCCAGGGAATGCAGGAGCGGCAAGAGGATTGGGAGAACGGAAATGAATGCGTCACAGGACGATGATGATAATGGCCTCGTTGCCATTACTTTGTTTAGCTGCCTGCTGGCGCAGCTCCTTCTGGGCCGTGTGGCTGTTGTTGTTTCTAGCTTGTTGGCTTAATTGATTTAGTTGAAGCTGCACAGAGTTTAATAGTTGCTCATCATTTATGTGGCGCCCCAGAAGCCACAAGGAGCTCTTTTCTCCACATCTCTAGCTCTATATGGCATGGCATTTAATTTTCTCGAGCACTGTGATACACATTTCGACGCGCTAAAAGTTTCAAAACCGGTTGGTGGAAATATCTAAGAGCCGTGCCACTACACCCGACGTCGCATGCAATCGGGTCGGGGTATTGAATCAACGCCAACTTGGTGCTAACCACTGGTCAACAATGGTCAACCTCCCAGAGAAGCTCAGATTGCCAACTGACGCCTGAGAGCCATGAATGGCGTTTTATCTAATCCGTAGCAAAACAGCTCGCCGGCAGAAGTTGGTGAATTTAAAAAACCATTTTAATTATTTATTACCAGATTAAGCAGTGAGAAATTTCAAGAATCTGGACTGGATGCTGGAGACAGTGGGAGAGTTGCGGTCAAGTCGACAGCTGTGATGCCCTATATTAGTATTTGCACAATATTTTAGAGAGAAGTTTATACAAGCCTTAAAAAAATTATATTGAGATTAGTAAGTGAGGAGTAAATATGCTCTTAGAAAATATGTTTTTTTGGCGAAAATTCATTGATTTTTTAATATTTGATTTGTTAGTAAGTTGTGGCAAAATTTGTTAAATGTGTAATGCAAAATGAAGGCAAAATTCCTGATATACAACTCTTTTATATTTAAAACCAATTAGTTCTAAAAGGTTTTTTATTTTCATGCAACATTTTATGGTTTATGAATGGTGGTTTTAAATGACTTGTTAGACTTTCATTTGGTTTACGCAATGCGGGTGGCTTTTGATTAATAAAGTAAAGAAAAAGGTTTAATAAATGATATTCAAAGTTAACAATTTACGTAACTATTAACGGCAAACTCTACAAAACTTAAAAACCCTGATCTGATTAACAAGAAATGTCTTGTCAACTCCATATTTGTCTTCTTGTAGGACAGCCAACGTTCCGAAGACTGGCTAGGTGTCAATCAAAAAGGCCAAGTTCAGGTGTAACTGAAACTGCGTCTTTTTGATCCGCTGCTCGGGAGTTATGGTGCACATTACACACATTAACAAGATCATTGTCTCTCGTAATTGTTGTTGCTGCAATTAGCGTTGGTAGCTCTTGATTTATGCAGGTGCCATGCAAAGTGGCAGCAGCAGCTTCCAAGTATAGACAATGCCGCCACTCGCAATTAATCAGCACTCGGAGCCAGCGATCCGTACTCACCGTATAAAAGCTGGCCTAGGGCATTGCCAACCGAGTCAGTCCCGCCGTGTAAGCAGTCGAGCACGGACTCGAAGGGATCAGTAAAAAGCTCTCGGTGAAATGCGTAATACAGTGGTGAGGGTGATGGATTGAGGAATAATAGTACGCCAGATCTGGAGGTTAACTCATTTTTTATTTCCTTCAACAGTTTGTCTTACTAGGCCTTTTGGCCATAAATTACTTGGAGGATGCTACCGGTCATGTGGTGCCCGTAGCCCTTCCTGCCGCTGGTACCTATCTGCTGTCTCCTCCTGGACAGGTACTTTTGCTGGTCCAACCACCTCCCCCGCCAGAGGACGATGGCTCCTACAAGCCACCTTCGAGTGCCGAAGATGGCTTGTGGAAGCCCCAGCCAGGGCTGGAGGGTGAGTACACGGAGCCAGCAATAAGCGAGAGTAGTAGTGGAAGTGTTGATGGGTCAGATGCTGGTGCTCTGAGCTTGGATGCCTCTGGATCTGCTGATGCCCAGGACGCTCCAGCTCCGGCACAGGCTGGAGGAGCAGGAGAAGCCGGTAAGGCTGGACAAGCAGGAGGTATTCTCGGTGGAGCTGGTGGAGCAGGTGGAGCTGGCGGCGGTGGCAGTGCCGGAGGTGGTGGCGGTGGAGGAGGGGGCGGTGGAGGTGGTGGAACAGCAACCTCAGGGCAGAGTGGTGACAGTGGCCAGCCGGGAGCACCAAGTCCCGCGGGACCCCAACCTAATGGTGAAGATGGCGCCGATGGAGCCGATGGGCCCGACGGTCCGGATGGGTCAAAGGGTGGAAAGGGCGGCAAAGGTGGCAAAGGGGCACGAAATGGAGCCGGAGGCGGCGGTGGAGCCGGAGGAGCTGCTCCTCAGCCACCGCCAGTAGCGGTTTCAGTTCCAGCCGTGTTGGTCCCTGCTCCCGTTTGGGCAGATCAATAGTTGAATGTGATGTAAGTGAAAGAATTACCTGTGAAATATTTCCATCAGACTAACTATTCTCTCACCACACTTGCAGTCGCGTTGTGTAAGCTTCGAATGAACTTTTTGCCATTTTGCCTTAACCTCTTTTTGGTAGCCGATTAAGTTAGTCTTAAAGCTAGTCAATGTTTGTGGAGCTCACATTTACCCTAAGCTAAGGCAAGCGAATATTAAAATTCGATTACAAAGTACTGTTTTTTGTGGGTTTTTATTGCTTAACACACACGTGGGGAGCAAAGGTCAACGTGCGACCTTTTGCCTAATGAAAATGGGTTAGGTTTTCCTATTCTACTCCCCGACTAGTCTTTCTTCAAAGTGTTCTATTTTTGAACTGAATAAATATTGAAACAACATTAGCATCAGACAATTAGAAATCGTTGTTCTACAAAAGCTCTGACAGCAGCTTTCAAATGTCGGGGTTTGGTAGTGCATAAATTATGCCTAAAAGTAGGCAATGTAATTTACATACGCTTTTCCCTAGCCGTTTTTCCAGAGAAAAATACTAATTACATGTCAATCAGTTGATGGTAATTTTGAAAAGGGAATGGCATACATATGATATTTTAGCTAAAATGAAAATAGTCGAATTTATATACCTGCGCACTTACATCGTGTCATGTATGTGGGTTTTCAACAATGAATATTCATGTGGGAAAAGGTCAAAGCCTGAGGAAACTGTGATAACCTTTGGCTATCTTAGATAAATGTTTTTGAAACGTTTTTGCTCAGATGATTTTACTATTTTTTTTGTTCCATGCCAGTTTTTCACACACACACTTGCCACATCTTTTGTCGGTGCCAGAGTACTTCTTATTAGTTCGATTTCCTCGCTTTCGTGTGGCTGACTTTGTTGCACAAATTGCGCGAATTGCTGGAAATCGAATTTTCAGCATTGCACTATCCTCCTTGCAACAATGATAGCCGTGTGTGCCTGCTTCATTTGAGCGGATGTCTTTGAAAGGACGCACAAAGTGGATGAATCCTTATCGCAGCTGCGACAAAGTATCGCCAAGTGCTTTTCCGCGATTCCACTTTCGTGGATTAAAGTGAATTGCTTACCAATTGGAATATCAATCGAAGTACCCCAAAACAACAGAAACCTTTTACTTAGAGGTTTAAATGTTGAAGAAAACTTTCAGTTGTCGAAGGTTCTTTGCAAGATTCTTCTAATTACTTAGAAGAAAACATTAGTTGGTTTTCATCATTAACATTAATATTATTTATATAATTTAATGATTCTATCTTTAGTGGAAAAAATAACTCATTTAATTGTTATTATTATTAATGCTTTTTAAAGTTTCAACCTTTTAGTCCCTCTTATGGTAAGTCACATCATATGATACTTTGAAATCCATCTCAATTAAAAGTACAGGTAACATATTTTTATCCGCCCAAAAAAATATTTTTAACATACTCGTATGGTTCCTTTCCCATCCGCATAGCAAATAATATATATTTTTGTACAACAATTACCAACATATTTCGACACTCCTGCTATTGCAACATGTATTCAAATCCGATCAATTAGGCCATAAATTAACGCCTCAACCATAAATTAAATTGATGCAAAACATAAAAGCCATTTGACCAAAGATATGCAAAATGCGGCTCATGCAACGCCCACCGTAAAAATAAACTAAACTAAAGACAAGAGAGCGTCAGAATGGCAGGGCCCAAAATCGGTTATGGATGGTGTTGGCTCACAAAGTTTTTGCTTGTTTACTCAACGGCTCTGTGTGTGTTGCAGTTAGGCAAAACATGGGCCCTGGGCGCAGGGCCAAATGGCAAACAACTGGCCACAACAACAGTTCTGGCCAAAAAACCACAATGATCTTCGATTGGTTTTCCCAACTAGAGGCAATGCAAATGTAATTCTTCAATCCGAAATGAAATTTTTGAAAGCACGGAATGAGCTCTGAGAAGTGAGTGCAAATCAACACCGGCACTTGCAATAATATTGTTTGGTTGAAATTAGTTGGCAGCAGCAGTGCAGCGTTGCACATTCACTTTTGCCTGGAATCGGACCACGCCCCAACACTTGTGGCTGGCTAACTGGGCGGTGGTTCCAAAACTTCTCATTCAGTGGCCGATTGGTCAGGCTACTGCTTTTTTGCTGGGTGCCAAATATTCTGAACTGCGGATAAACACAATCCCACTGGTGGGTAATTCGAACAATTTCGGCTTTTATGTGCTGCCTGGCGTGTAATTAAATTAACTGCCGGGTCAGTAACCGGATCGAAGCCGACTGAATACTCTAAGCCCCACCTGTCCCGAAGGTCGACCATACTATATATATATATATATTTTAAAACCTATTTCACTTATTGCCACTGTTAGCCGACAATTGGTCGTAAATCGAAATGCCAATGCATGCTTAATTAAATGGCAAGCAAAACCCATCCCTAAAGAAATCCCGAAATTTACGATAAGTTCACTTGGTGGGCCGAGCCCGTGCTTGTTTATGCGTGGAAAATTGAAAATCGCTGGCCACATTTTCACCTGACCTTTGCGTGTTGGCCAACTAAGGGGTTGTTAATTTTTAATTAGCTTCCCGGCCTGCGTAATAAACTAGGCCTTCCCTCACCTTTTGGCTCAAGGTCGCCGATTGGGCCAAAAAGGTTGCACTTGAATTTATGGGCCCAGGCACAAGGCACCATTCTTCGAGCTATTCAATTCCCTCTTGACAAATGCCTGGCAATCTATTTACTCAAATTGTTTGCCCAGCTTCAGTGCGGCAATAGTTCGAGTCACCCGAAGTCGAGTGACACATTCCCTCGCATAAGACACACAATTTTGCAGGCGGCTGGGCAAAAAATACAAGACTCATACCGCATTGATTGATTGTTTGTTCGCTCACAGTGTCGTGCCACATGCAGCTATCCTCTGATGGGGATTCAAATGCCACGCCCACCGCCCACAGCATAGTATGACTCCCCCTAGAGGAGGCATTTCCACATAGCCAACACACACACACCCACACATACACATGTGAGGGTATGCAAATTTCAATCGTGGCATTGCAAATATTTATGTTCCTTTCAATGCAGTCACTGTGGGTAGAAAATGTGGGCGATGAGGGGTAGCCGGTGGTTTAGGTGGTTGTTCTGGGTGGTGCCATAGTTGACCTGTGACTGGGAAATATGCGCCAGTGTTTAAAGGAAATGGAATTTCCCACAGACACACCGACGAACTTCATAACAGGATGCCCTTTTAATTAATATGACAAAACAATAGGAATAACATGAAAAATATGCCGCAAAGATAAATCCAAATACGGGCGCATAAATTAATTTGAAACAAACAAAAAGACATTTCAATGCTTTAATGAAAACTAAAACCAAAAGTCAGGTAATTTATAATATATAAGCATTTAAAATAGCGACTTTAAAACCTGTTGAAGTCAAACCACTAGGTAGCCAGGCAGGGGCTTTTAACATAATAACTTATTTTAATTTAGAGTCGGGTATTTTAACAAACAAAACCATAGTTAAAATCTCAAATATAAGCAAAATAAATGTATTGATTAAGAACCATACTCGCACATAAAATCTTTACCATTATTTGAATGAACAAATTAATGCTTAAATATTCATATCAGAATTTTGAAGCATTGCAATGAAATTCCTGAAAACATTATAGTTGCAAGACTATGCTCGTTTCTTTACTCTTATTTGAATGGTATTTATTTGCTGGGCTTATTTAAACACTTTGTCAGCATAAAATTCCGCACAATGTAGGTTATCTGAAGAGAACTATAGAGCCTTTTCTTCTGATTGGTCCTGAATCGTGAAACACAATAGGTGCTGATAATCCCACATTCAATTCCAAACACTTGAAAATGTGATCAAATACATTTTTGCAGTTTATTTTTCTGTTTGCAGTTTCATATAAAATATAGATCTATATCTGGTCAGATACATAAAGATTACAACAGTTATTTACAACATACTCATACAGCGTTTCTCAATAGTTACAGTAGAAGAAAGATATGGATTTTTTAGGAAAAAGAAAACAGGAAGAGAAAGTCTAGAGCTGAGAGATGTAAGTAGGTAGATATGTGTGCTGTGACTGGGACTTGAATCCAAATCGATCGAAACCCAGCGGGCAAGGAAGCCTTACTTCGAAGGACTTCAATCTCCCGTGTGTAGTCGCTTTCAGTTTTCCGTGTGATTTAAGTGGCTTGTGTGTGCATTTCTCAAAAAGTGAAAGATAGTTAGAAGAATAAAACAGATAGAAAGACAGATAGATGATAGAGAGTTGGGAATGCTGCTTAAAAGTCGCACTTGCGTGCGTATACGCAATACAATGTTACGCATACGCCACATTGGATTCGGTAGTCGGTTAGGCAGAGTGTTTAGAGAATGCTCGTCGTCGATCGGAAGTTAAACCCCTCTTAAGTACCGACCCCTTACTTCTTAGTAATGGTCATAGTGCGCATGGTACTGGCCATCATCCTCGTGTCCATTACCGCCATAGTAACCACCATGGCTGGCAGGAGCTCCATGTCCAGCGGCAGCCACAGCGTTCAGATGCGCAGCGCGGGCATGCTGAACCTCTGCGGGCTCTACGGGCACTCCGTTGTGGATGACCGGGATATGGATGGGTCCCTTGTGCGCATAGCCGGTGGCGTAACTGTTGTGGCTGCTGTGGCTCTGCTCCCAACGTCCGTCGTAGCGGCCATCATCCCAGGATCCGTGGGAAGCTCCACCATGAGCGGAAGCCTGCGACAGGGCGGCGTAGTGGGCGGCCTTGGCGTGCTGCACCTCGGGCGTATCGACGGGCACACCGTTGTGGATCACGGGCACATGGTAGCCACCATGGGCAATTGGGGCAATGGCATGTCCTGAACGGGCGGCAGCGTGAGCGGCAAAGTGCGCGGCCTTGGCGTGCTGCACTTCCGGCGTCTCAACGGGAGCTCCATGGGCATGGGCAACCTGTCCCAGGGCCTTGGCGTGGGCGGCATAGTGTTCAGCCTTGGCAGCCTGCACATCGGGTGTATCAACTGGCACACCACCGTGGGTCAGTGGCACATGGGCAGGCTGTCCGTAGGCCCAGCCTCTGCCGTAGATTGAACGCTTGTACAGATGATGTCCGCCGGCATTGTGAGCAGCAGCAGCATGGGCGGCGGCATGAGCAGCCTTGGCATGTTGCACCTCGGGGGTATCGACGGGTACGCCTCCATGAGTCAACACTGGGATATGGATGGGTCCATGGGCGTAGGGTGCATAGGCGCCATGGGAGTGGGAAGCAGCATAGACGGGAGCAGCATGAGGAGCTTGAGGCAGGTTGGTGCCCACAGCATTGAAACCATGGTGAGGATCAGCGGTATAGGACACGGACTGCACATGACCATGACCGTCCACATAGGAGTAAGAACCGTGCGTGGTGCCATCATGACCACGAGTCTCGTGCTTCTGTGAGTTGGGATCGGCGTATCCGTAGGAGTAGGTGTGGCTATGAGGGTCCAGGTGCTGATACTGTGTGGAGACGGCTCCGTGCCACGATGCGGACACCGTCGAGACCAGCAATGCTGCGGCAATAAACTAACCAAAACGGGAAAACAAAACTTTAGTATCACTGCACCAAAAAAATATTTTTCTTAAAGTAAAACAAAACTATAAAACCATAAAGACTTTTTGATGATTTCGGGATAGTGAAAAATTTTCATAAAATAATATTACAAAAACCTTAAAGACCAAGAAAAAATATTCCTTCCTATGTATACATATCTTTCACCTTTTTCTCTTAGTGTGAAAAGTGTTAGTCGTGGGATTATGCCACGGTTCAGTAATTACTCCTCTTGCGGTAGGCACCGCCTAAAATCTTTAATCGCAGGTGTCACTCAATGGGAGCTTATAAGCCGCCTCTGCTAACCTAATTACAGGCTTTGCTTTTCTTTTCCTGCGCTGGCGCTTGCGCGAATGTTTTCCTCTCGCTTTTCTTTGCCATACACATCTCTCCACTTTTCCTATGAAATCGCTTTTCCAGCGCCGCGAAGCGCAACCATTTGATTCGATTCCGAGATAGTCGTTCGACCAATATTCGTTTGTAGATATTACCGCATGCGGCGCGATTATGTGTACCATATATTATGTGTCAGCACAGGTGAGTGGGGCAGTGTGGTAGTGTAGCAGCTGGGCAGCAAGGCAGAAAGTGGTGGAAAAACGGTTAAATAAACTGTCCGACATGCAACATGTCAACAGCTTATCAACGGGATTTCGCACAGAATTTGATGGCAACTGATGGTTTTCTGGGTGGTTCGCTCTTAGCATGACGTGCCACCTTTAATTGACTCTCGGATGGAACTGAAGGATTTATGTGTTTCAGCAGCAGCCGCAGCACAGGTGGTATTTTCATACGGAGCGGAATTTAAATGAATCGAATTAATTTCATAGAAGCAATTTCCATTTGATTTCAAAATAATTGAGTTAAGACAGGTAAAGAGAATGCAAGAAATGAATTTATACTTTATGCCAGTCATAGCACTACTTATCATTCAAAATGATTTGAAAAATCTATATTGACATAATACCATTTACTTTACCATTTAATTTTTTAACTTTCCGCTTTTTGTAATAAGACCTAAATTCAGTTTTTCGCTTAAGCTAACGGAAAATTCATTGAAGTAGGCTTATATATCCTCCACTACCTTGAAGTATAATCTCAAAATTTAAAGTTGTTTTCCAACTTCGAAAATAAGAACTGAATTCAACCAATTTTTTAAGATGATAAGGTTATAAAAATGACATCGGCTAAAACTCCTAAACCTAAGAATCCTATTCTTCACTTCATCACTGATTTTCGACATTTTGTATAGATCCTTTTCCTTGGCGTTATCCTTTTTGATCCCTTGGCTTATACTTACGAATGGCTTCATCTTAGCTTAGATCACACGTTTGAGCTTCGAAAAAGGAGTTTTCGGGGATACACTGGATGGGATGAGCGGAAAACTAACTACACACGACACGACACAAGCACTAGTCGCTGGACGCTGGTTGAACCTCCTAGAACCACGACTAGGACTGTTAACGAACTGTGCTGTCTGCTGGCTGGCGGCCCTAATATATACCGCCCGAGACTGGCGACTGGAGACTGTGGGAGCAGAGACACCGAGCTGAGACGCCGGCGCATGCGCAACATTGCTAACAGAAGCATGCACGCCAGCAACACCAGCCCAAAAAAACAACAATATCGACCATACAACAATGGCAACAACGAGAGCAAGAGCAGAACAATGTGGTACCAGAGTAGCAGAGTAATCGAATTACCACAATAATCGGGGCTCGAAGCGGGTTTTAGCCAAAGCCGAAGTGTGGATATCGAAGCCGCAGCCGAAGAATGTGTATCAATCGCTTGGCTAGGAGAGCACTGCAGCATGTTGCTGGCTTGCAGTTGCACTAGCAACATGTTGCTCGTGCGTTTCCTTCGTTGCGTTTGTCACTCTTAAAAAAAAAACCGCTACCATGACCTTGCTTTCAAAGCGATTTAATTGCCGGTTTGATTTCAACGATTGATGTGTTTTTTTTTTGGGAGGGGGACTATCTCTTTGACTTCCGCGCTACGAACAATTAGCACTCATTATTTGGCCACGGGATTAGGCCGATCTTATCGCTCTCGATGCCTTTCAAAAAACGCCCAAGAGACCCGCCCCAAGCTGGCCGGCGATCAAATTAAAAAATTCTTACCCACCGCTTGCAACATGCCCCAACGGCGGGGGCCATAACGAAATGTGAGCTGGCCAATTTCTGGGCGTTTGCCTCTTTAATCATTGAACTGCATCGGAAAACGAAACGAAAAGTTTGCAAATTAAAAATAAAAACAAGAGCACGGCCCAAAGAAGCCAGCGGAAAACAAAAGACAGCAAAAATGGGTTTTCTATTCACTTTTGGCCACTGACGCTGCCGCTGCTGTTGCCACATGTTGCAGCATTTCTTTGCCAGTCAGTTAATCTAGATGTTGCACTCACAGATGCACTCAAAAAAAATATTATAAGAATAGTAGACAATAGGAAATAGAAGGATGATAAAATCAGAAACTGGCATTGGGCAGACATAGGTTGCTTTCCATCTCTCCACTATACATTCATTTTCATTTTATAGCCATTACTTTTTATTAACCTCTTTGCAACTTATATATCTACAGTTTTAAGGAAAATTTAATTACATTTTTTAAGCAAAAAAAATCATATTTTTCCTTTCAGTGTACCCAGCGAGCCTCCTTGGTCCGTTGCCATATAATGAGTGCTTGCACTCTGACTGACTTCGATTATTTGCATTCGATAAGCGCCATCGGGAGAGCGGGTGGCTATATTGGCTATATAGCTCTAAATATCTATATAGGTATGGCACACTCCATATTCTTTTACTCCTATCGGCAACTTAATTTGTTTGCCTTCGCCTGCCGCCAATTTAATTTGAATAAACCAAATGCAAACTGCTCTTTTGAACTTAAACCAGTGTGTTTGTGTGTATGTGTTTTTATGTGCGGGCGGGCGATCATTTTGGGGCGTGTTTGACATTTTTGCAGTATGCGCAACATTATAAATTATATTCCCGGTGCCACTTTTGTTTTCATTTTATTAGCTCGGCCCACTGTCGACAGCTGTGGGCTGACTGAATCTAGCTGACTAGCTGGCTGGCTGGCTGGGTGACTTACTGACTGGCTCAAGTGCAATCCACACATTTGTGGATTGTCGAGGTGCCCACCTTCAGCCAGTTCCAAACCCAATCCAGCTCCATTTGCGAACGTAATTATTGTCTTGGCTTTCCATCCGAACGCTACATGCTCGGGTGTCGGGCATATAAATTCTGATTGCTATCAGGGCGAAAATTAACTAATTACCTGGTAATAACACGTATTATGCAATCAGAATCAATTTATCTAAATGCATTTCTAATCTAAAGCAACCAAGCTTGTATGCAATATGTTTCCATTTTATTACTAAAAAGCACATCAAATTTATGTACTAGAAACTCGAAATCATAAAGAAAACTGTTAATAAAAGTAAATTTACTTGGGTAAAGATTGACAGACTTAGGATCAACAACATGTTAAGCTACTCTAAGCCCAAGATCATAAAATATGAAATATTGTGGTCTTTGAATTAATTATAAGTAATAAGTAAATTTATAATTTATTTACAAACATTTTTATTAGTCACTTGAAAAGCTTACAAAACTGCAACTGTTAAAAACTATTATCCAAAATTATTTTCAGTGATTGCTTTTTCAGCTTACTCATTGTTTGTTCAGCACGTACCAATGCCAAACTGTCTTTCGGCAAGAAAAATTGCAATTTTCATAGCCATTTAACTTTGAACCACTTAAGGCCACCCAGAATTCTCTATTTCTGAATTTGTACATTCGTAGATATGTAAAAGGAATGTCTAACAATTGCAAACTGCAAAGATTTTCAAGTGGGCGTGGAACCTCCTTCGTTTTGTGCCTTTACTTGTTGCCTTTTGACCGATTTGAATAAATGCAAATCAAGCCTGGATAGATATTTTTTCGATAAATTGCCCTGTCGATTTCAGTTCTTATTTAATTGCTGTTATTTACAGTTATGGGCAGGAAAAGAACATTTGCATCAGCATAGAATAATTAAGTCTTCAATGTGGGCAGGTGTTGTCTCTGCAATCATTTGTCTTTTGAATATTTACCCATGGCTAAATCATGTTCAATTAATTGATACTAGCTGTTAAACAACATAATTAAGATCGATAGCGGGTGATGGCATTTTATAACTCTAGTTTACTAGCTGAACACTTGCGCCCCACCATTAGGCAAATGAAGCGTGGTCTGCTTCTAGCCGCGGCAATTAATTGCAATTAATATTTAAAATTCTGCCCGCAAGACAATAAAATTCTTCATGGCGTGACGCAACACAGAAACTAAAACTGGATTGGCCAATAGCAATTGCAATCGGAATTAGCATGGCAACACCATCGTTGATGCCTTCTAACCTGGTCACGCATCACTGAGCCAAAGTGACCAAAAAAAGCAGTGGATTTATATAGTCTAAAAATGAGTGTAATGAACAGCTTGTTAGCATCGACACTTTAGAAAATAACAAAAATTAACAAAAATATATATAAATATATTATTACTTTAAAATTGTATAATTTTATATTTTAACTAAATATTTATTCAATAGAAACAAAATCACACCAATTTCCGCGATTCCATCCCATCGTACTCCATTGGCATTGAAATTCTTCTGGCAGTTGGTTTTGGCTACAACTGCTGGCCATTCAGACGGTCTGCCCTGCTTTGCCCAGCGATGCAGTGAAGCGTTGAGTGACTTTTGGCCAGGCGGATGCAATCCAAGCGCTCGCGGGTGTAAGTGCCCTCTTGGGAATGGCTTATTGAAGGCAATGGCAAAGCAATCGCATTTGTCGATTTCATTCTTTGCTTCATTTTAGTGTTTTTTGTTCTTACACAAACTGTTGCTTCGAATATTTGTGGTGAATTAAAAATGTTAATTGCTTCGGCCAGTTGTTGGCCATAAGACAAATGAGTTTATGGTGCGAGAATTAAGTATTTCTTGGCAACAGGGTGTTAATATTGGTTCTCATGGTTCTCTTTTGTACGTTATATTGCAGGAAATAAAGTATGCGCAATTTAAACTCCGTTTCCCAACTATAATTGCCATCTGTAAGAATTCTATAAAACACCCTGTTTGCCGCATTTCAAGAATTAATTCAATGTGCTAAGCGTGCCAAGCTAAAATAAATCATTAAAATTTATGAATTTAATTGGCTTCAATTATTGCCAACAGATAAAATGTAAAGCAAACTGCAACAGCTCTAATCGAATCGGATTGAACCGCCAGCCATGAGCAGGCAGTTATACTCATTGGGATTTTACTTGGGATCGTGTTGAGTGGTTAGGCTATTCGATTCAATTTGATTTCATGAACAGGGGCCACCCTAACGTGGAATTATGAAAATTACACCAAGGAACTTTGGCCAACATATTATTAGGGTGTAACTGACGAATGTACCGGGGCCAAGGGGCCGCCCCAAAGGAGGCGGAACCCGTCATCTATAAGTATCTGTATCTGAATCCGTGTATCTGTATCTGCTTTTGCGAGTGGCATTTGTCACATGGCGAGCCAAGCTAATTGGCAGAATGCTGGTGGGGTTAACCAACCCAGAGTTGCGGGCGTAGCTAGGGGAAAATTAAATTGCAAATTTCTCAGATGATTGATTGGCAACGGGCAGAGCCTGAGCTTGGCTTTGGGATGCCGCTGTTATGTACTAGGTGCAGTTGCGCAGATTCATTCCTAGATGGCCGACGTGGGTTTGGGGTTCTCAACGGTATCGGGCCGACGATCTAATGGCCCAGTTCGGAACTGGTCAAAAACACAGCGTGGCAGGCATCCAGCCATAAGCAATTTGACACGCCACAAACGGGTTTCTGTTCACTTGCAACATCTGGGCCAGTAGCGAGTGGTTGGTTCACCAGCTGGGCGCCAGGTTGAAACCCTCGCTGCGCCCTCACATCTCTCCACCACACCGTAGGCCACACCTACACACAAACTGTGAATCGTCGGATTCCTGCAGTTGACACACACGTGTCCTGGCCAAAATGTCGCACAATCACGAATGGGCAGCGCGCGCGGTTTTTCGGGCCCACCAATTTGATATTTCCATTTGCTAACAACGCAAATCCGCCGCATGACAGACATCGCCATCCCGCAATCTGGCGACCCCCATGACCATAAAGTGCTACCAAGCCAACGGCCAACATTTTTGGAGGCGCACCCGCCAATCTGGCCAAAAGAGAGAAAGAAAAAAGACATGAAAATCCTTAGTTAACCCACATGCATAAAATGAGACCTTAAAACTCCAAAACTGACCACCCAGAATCGTGGGCAACGTGCGGAGTCAGCCAGGTGAACATAAAGTTAGCCAACAAAGTAAACAACGAGGATGGAGCATAACGAGCGGCCATAAAACCTTAGAGAACGGGCACCTTGATGTCTATTTTATTTTGTCAAAAAAGTCATAAAGAGTTCCTTGCAAAGTTTAAGATGGCCCAAAGAAA